TGACATTGTAATCAGAATTGCCATAATGCGCAGTCGTTGAAGGAACTTACGTACCTATAGATTACCGCGAGGCAACCGACGCCCGCGAGAAACACCAGCCAGAACCAGAGAACGACGAAGATCTTCTCGTTCACCACGTTCAGCGGAAGCACGCACAAAGCATCGTGAGTTTGCACGGAACCCGCGGGTCCGAATGTGTGAATCGTACACTTGGTTACCTTCGGAAACAATCGCGCCATAGGGTCGATCCTTTCGTGAGGACTTTCCTCGGCGAGGAACGCGCTCACCATCGGTCCGTATCGCCTAAACTGTCCCTCCAGAAATATATCCAACAGAGATATCTGTCCTATCTATCGATGAAAGATTTTTTATCGTGAGTTTTTTCGTTAACTTAACGCTCTCCGTAGCTCTCTTAAAATTAATAATCGGTAAATGCCGATTCTTAACGATTGCATGAATTTGTCGATTTGTTTTTTTTTTTTTTTTTTTTCCACTTTGCCGAATAGCAAAGAAAGTGAAAATGGTTATATTTTATATACGTTAAGGGTCCTCGAGTTGTATTTCCGCGCGATATATCGGGTTCGTTTCGAGAAGCAAAGTTTCGACCACGTTTCGTTAGCCCGGACTCATTATCGAACCCAGAAATCAATTATTCACGGTTATTTCCGCGCAATTTCCTCGCCTCTGACGTCATAATCCCAGTTGGCCGATCGAGATCCCTTAAGTACCTTCCGCAGAAACTCTTCCGTTTCTAAACTGAAGGGGGAATTATACTTACCGAATTTAAGAAGTTCAAGAGCTCGCACACGAAGAAACGCATGGCGTAGAAGTTGTGACCGTGCAGATTCGTTTTGGTGAAATATTCGACGAGCTGCTGCTTCCTCTCCTCGGTCCAGACGTCTCTCAGAAAGGGAGACGCAAGATCCCGCGAAAGAAGACTTATGATGCCTCTCTCCCAGATGCCCCATAACGCGCGCGGCACGTAAAAAGAAATGGCTTGTAAGCCGAGAACGAAGCATACCTAATAAACATTACATCCTTATTTCCTTCGATTTTTCTTAAAATCTTTAATCTTTATTTAAGAAATATTTATCTTACATCTCTCTCTCTCTCTCTCTCTCTCTCTCTCTCTCTCTCTCTCTTCATTTTAGAGAGAGGCGAATTTTTAACAGAGACAACAAATATACACCGTCTGTCACCTACATATCGTCGGAAATTAAAAAGAAAAAAAAAAGATATCGTAGAGATAACGCAGCATGCAGACAGATTTTTTTTCTACTCCAAAAGTTTATTTTCTTATTCTTTGTAAAAGCAGCTTAGCAGAAAATATTTATATCTGACTCAATATGTTTTCTTTTATTTCGGAAAAAACCTAAAGGGTTTCATGGGAAACCTCTACTACCGTGCGTTGCCTTCCGCGACGCGAATCGCGCAATACAGAGATGTAGGATAACGGTCCGGTATCTGCGCGATCTCTATTTCCATTTCCTCGCGCCGTCTTCCTTCCGTCCCCTTTCCGGACGGTTTTCCTTTACATTCGCGCGTTCACGTTTCAGATTTCATTCACGCTCGCGCAATACGTCTGCATGCGCCGGTGAGCCGGGAGAGCCCGACCTGACCATCGGAACGAAGTGCAGCCGTTATCATGCATCTCGCGTACGTGAACGCGCTACGTAGGTGTGTGGATTCCATACGGAAACTTATGCGATCGACCAATTCCGTCGCACACGCGCGTTCTCTCCATCGCATTTCTCTCCCGTTCGCTTTCAATTTTTCAGAGTGCCCCATCGAAAAACAATTTAGGGATGCCTTTGACGAATTTCAAGCCGATCTTTCCTCGGTGAGAATTTCCCAGAGAAGAGTCTAAGTAGAAGTAGGAGGATCACTCCTCGGAGAACTTTTATATCGAGCATAAAAATTCTTGAGCTTTTGGCCTTGAACGGTACGAGTCAATAAAGAAACTTTGTGTTTCGGCTGAGTTCGTAACTTGATTTTTATCGGAGATTTGATTTCGCGAGAAAAGCGCAACTTGTAAAAAAATTTTATAACAAAAGCAAATATTTGAGAGAATCGCGATGGATACATTTTTACGGCTTTAACGGCACCGATAATTTATTTAAATAATACGTATATTTTCCGGTTTATTTATATAGTTTAATGAGAATATATTTTCTATGTTCTTCCATCAACACAAACTGTTTATCAACTATTGTATCGATTATCTCCTCATCCATATCGTGAACGTTCTAAATTCAGCTGACCCACTGATAATATCGATGATGACGGGCTTCATCACCTGGAAGGGCCTGTCCTACGCCAGCACTCGCTACACCCCGTCCAGGAATACCTTTCAGATGTCGGGATACCGTGAATGTGCTGTAGATCCAGCAATACGCATTTACGGGATCTTTGTCTACCACACACATAGCAACATGTCAAATCAATCATCAATTATGACCAATTGTTATTAATAAGCTCTTGCTCGAGCAATAATTAAATATTTACACTGACAGAAAGAATCTAGTAATATCTACGAAAAAAATGTCGAATGAAATCATTTCAATCCAATGTTTAGTTAATATAACTAAAAATAATTTTATTTTTCGAAATATATTTAACAAGTATTATCAAATATAATTGTTTAGCAATAATTACGAAATGTTAAAAACAAAATTATTTTTGTGGTTATATTAACTGATCATTTTTGATTGACATTACTTCACTCGACATTTGCCAACCATTACCAGACTCTTTTCCTCAGTGTGGTACATATGGTAAAGATATTTAGAAAGGATTTGTAAATGCAATCGTATCACGATTAATTCCTTGAGCATGAAGCACTTCTGTAAGAACTCGAAATCCCAAATGCTCACACACTCGAGGTCTGAAGGTTAGCGGAATTCGTACCGATGGAAGCATCGGTCATGCAAGAAATCGGTTCGCCGATGTACTGCTTGGCAGTTACGAGAATGGTGCAAACGAGCAGTAGGAGAACGGTGATGCGCGAGTGTAGCCTGAAGACGACATTGTCGACACGAACGGATTCTTTCCGTAGAAGGCATTTAATAGGTGCGAAGAGGTCCAGCATGGTTATCGCGTGTTCTTTTGTCTCGAGCACCGAAACAAAGCACAATAGAGAAAATTCCAGGTTCCAAAGCGCATTGTGAAAGGAAGCGTTTGCAGCGTCGCGTATTTGCTCCAAACTCGTTCGGGAATTTATCGCGGAGAAGACAGGCTTTTCGATTGCGAGTAAATGTCTGTTTAAATTCGCCGCGCGAGGAAAATCGACGTAACGAAACGAAAAATGGAACGTGAAATACATCGAATTATGCGTGTCGTACGGTAGAATTTCGCAGGGCGAAAGATCCAAATTACGAACGACGCTAAAACGACGGGCGGGAAATTATTACCGTGTAAATCATCGACAAGAATGGCGGTGCCCAAAACTGCATCCGCCTTAATTGGTCCGCACTTAACCAGCGAGCGGACTCGTAAATCTTGAACGTAACGATCTCACGTTGTAATTTTTGCTCTCTCGGCGAGCAACGAGATCCTTCTCCCTCTTTTAATTCGTCCGTCGCGCACCCGAATCCGAGTTCTGAGATTTTTTTTCCAAGGGATTTTTCAGTAGCTTTAAGTAGACATAAAGAAACCCACCTCTTTCCTTGGCTCCAAGGATGCTCTTTATTAGTAAAAAATATAGTAATCATGATAATTGTTATTATCGCAATTACATGTCGTAGTAAGATAATCGTTATATCGTCGATTAAAGATAGCTGCGCTCGTTAATAATGCGCTTAATACCGCATCGCTCGGTTGTGTGCGTGTTCATGTGAATCCATGTGGGTGTGTGTGTGTATCCGCTATTGAGATTGTCGCTAAACCTACATAAATGTTTCCCTATATACAAGCAAACATCGTTCCTAGGAGCGCGGCAGCCCCGGGGGCGGCGCGGCGGGCCAAGTTTCCGAGTCTGTTTCTTGTTCTAATTATAATAGCCTCCTCCTGGAGGAGGAGGAGGAGGAGGAGGAGGAGGAGGAGGAGAAGGTCCAACCAACGGGAGTATCGGATTAACGGGATTCCTTATCGCAGGGCGATAGCCGGCCACCTTACCCGACGTATGCGTCTCGCCGACGCATTATTTATTTACTCTCGTTTATTTTATTTTTTATTATTTCTCTTTCACCTAATGTACCGGTCTATTTCTAAAAAGCAATTGGTTTTAAAAACCTCCTTCTAACTCCCTCGCCTTATTATATACAAACTGTTTGCACTGTCGACGATCACATGCATCATAATAGCTGCATATTTTAGTAGGCACGCTCATTCGGTGTCACAGAGTCCAGACACATCTTGCGAATCGGCGAATATCCATAACTCTTCTCACTTCCACTTCCGTTTCTTCTCTCCCTTTGCTTTCTCCAATACGGACACTAGAGCGATTATATACCTCGCAACGGATTCGATATATGTATATGTGTATATTATATTCGATACTGTCGCCGAACCTCAAGATGTTAAATCGACAAGGCGTGTCACGACCCGTCAGAAGTCACAATTACTGGATAGTACTATCAATTTCCCGTCGTTCCCGCCATTCCCGCTGTATTTTAAGTCAATTTAATTGTATCTTGCTCGCGACGCGAGTTTCTCTCGAGAATTCACGAAGCAGGACAACTTTGAGCAACCGCTAAGGACTATATCCCGAAGTCGGAATCTACGACGATCGGCTCGCTGATTTGCATTTGTACGAGCGACAAAGGAAATTGAGGAATCCATGCTATGCCGTACGATTTTCTAGAGATAGCAATAATGCCACCTGACAAACAAATCACAAATATACATATATAATAAAATATATTACGTGTAATGTATAACGCGACATAATTAATTTTAATTATAAAACATTTAATATGTTATAACATAGAGTTACTTAATTATTAATTATTCTATTATTTTTGAAAAACGATATTAACCCCATTTAAAACTTAATCTAACTTACGTATAATCTAATTCACGTATAATCTTTCTTTTTTTCCTTTTGCGTTTCGAACTCATTATTGTCAGATACTTCGATGCTGATTATCGATAAGATTCTATAATTAGATTAGAGGAAACGAGATATAATAAAAGTATAAAAACATTTTCTACGTATCGTTGAAGCTACTGTCTCGTAGATGTCTTGCTATCGCTAGAAATGAAGCTATCGCCGCTCGTACAATCAGCGACAGAAATAATCCGATCGCTACAAGTCTACGACAGTTCTCGCAAACGACGTATGACATCGTATGAGAACGATCGAGATGAGAGAGCTATGCATGAAGTTCTATGTCTATGGCAGTGTGCGTAGAGAAGACGCGATGACAATACGACGAGTGTATAACGCGGCAGTGGCAAATACAGTTTTGCTTAGAATTTCGTCGTCGCTGTAAGAGAAGGATAATGTATGGATCATTAGAGTTCCGTAAAGAGTGTAACTATAGAAGACCGACAGAGTGTAATGAACGTGGGGTGGGCGATTGGCGTTGACAGAGACGGTAGTGTAATAACTTGAACACCGCGATACAACAGAGTAGTAAAGATCCGGAATCAAGAGTCTCTCACGCAATTAATCGTCGAGCAAACTCGACGTTCATTAGACCCGGAAGCATCACATTGAGAGAATTATTTGTAATTTGTCGGATCTGTCGTTTGGAGCAGTATGGAAAAACATCTTCCGACACACCTCGATGAGGCTTGAGAAGGAGAACCATTTCTATCGATTTTTTTCAAACAACACAGAGGTCTGAAACACAAGGGCACCGACGGTCTCGACAGGTTAAATAAGCTTGCCTTAGGGACTCTATTCTTCTCTAGATTACAATCTTATCTATGATATAGTTAGAGACATACAATTTATTTAACCAAAATTAGCAATGCTAATGCGGCTGAAAGACATTTGAGGGACGTTTAAAAAGTTCAAACGCCACAAGAACATCTCTCTCTCTCTCTCTCTCTTTCTTTCTCTCTCGCATCGTTATATTTGCAGTGTTTCTCCAGGAATAAAGATTTATTACATTAGACGTTTATGCATCTACGTATGTATACAAACGTACGTACATGCGAGTATAAAGAAAGAATGTTAATTAGGTGATAAATTCGTTTCTTAGACCTCTGTGTTCTCCGAATTTGTGCGTATACCCGCAGAAGTAGAGGCACGATCGCGCCTCTTAATAGGGCACGTGTATGTCCCTGGAGCGCGATCGTCCTCTGCAAAGCCTGCACATGGCGATGAAACACGCGAGACCCAGAAGAATGGCGAGACCGGCGCCCAAACCTGCGCCAGCCCAGCCGGCGGGTCCAGCGAAACCGCCGCCATTACCACTGACGGGACCACCGCACGTCTCCACCGACTCGTCGTCCGGCTCGTAAAAGGTGCCATTCAGGATACCCGGCAGGGGCAAGCTGCGACTGGGACAGTTGACCACGCCGTTGCACACCAATCTCAACGGAATGCATCCCGCGTCGCCGGGACACTGGAAGCCGCAGTCCTCCAGTTTCCCGGTGTTGAGAGCCCCGGATCCGTCCCTCGGTAGATGAAAGAGCTCAGTCCATGCGATCTTGAAGGCCGCCCTGGCTGGCGCCATGGACCCGGTAAACTGTATGATCACAGCCGGCGATTCCTCGACGACATCGCCGCCCGGCGCCTGATGATCTATCGGCGGCGCGATACGCGCCGCTGAGATGATTGGCATCTCTCTCACGTAGCTGACGTTCTCACCGCAGATACCGAGATACGGCACGGCACTGCCCGGCAGGAAGATCTCGAGCTTGCCGTCCTCGCAGGAGCGCGATGCGAATTTGATCTTGTCAAAGTGCAGCCAGAGATCCCGCTCACGGTTCACCCGCAACTCCCAGATACATTTGATGGTCCTGGGTGGCGTGACGTATCCCAGTGCCTCGTAATGCGGAAACTCGATCTCGCCGTCGGTGGCGGGTGGCAGAAGCGCCGGTCCGCATAAAGGGCTATGCGCGAACTCGTATCTCGCCTCGAAGAGCGGCGCGGGCCACTTGAAATAACTCGACGCCGCGTGCGCACCGTCCACCAGCAGCTTCAGATCCAACCTCTCGCCCCGGGAGACGACTCTGAGAACAGGCGGCCGCGGTGCCGGCGACGAGCTCGTGGGCGCCGGAGTGCCGTTGTTGTTGATCCGACAAAGGCAGTGCGCCTTGATACCATCCGGATTAGGTTCCCGAATGATCACCCGATCCACTCGACTGTCCCAGCAATGGCCGCATTGAGCGTACGGATGCTCCTTGAAGTTAATTGACTCTATCACGAGAATGACGCGCGCGTACAGCCGCTTGTCCGTGACGAAGCTGTAGGTGCAGGACAGATCAGCGGGTGGGTCGCCCGGTCGTTTGTAAACCAAAGTGTTCAACGGCGACCGTAGACGGCCCGAGCGCGTCTTCCACGACGCGAATACTTCGTCGCACTCGGTACCGGGCGTGGGTTCGCCAAATCTCGTCGCGTTGAAGAAGTCATAATGAGCCCAGTAATAGAGCGAGCTGCCGGAGTAACTGCCAGTTTTACTTTCGAATCGCACGAACAGAGCGTTCGACGTCGAGACGAAGTCGTGCTTCTCCATCGGTTTGCTGAAAGTGTCGCAGAAGGTCTTGATGATACGAGCATCGTCCGGCCAGTCGGCGTCGTAGAGCGTCAGGCTCTCACCGCAATCGCCGTCGTAGGGCTGAATCGGCGACTCGATACGGTTCACGCGAAAGCTGGGGAAATAAAGACGAGCGATCTCGCCGGGTCGACCGCGTAGCAAATAGGTGCAACTGGTGTGTGGCGGGTACCAGTGCGCGACCGATAGAAAGATACCCTCGTTACCACTCACGAGAGATTCGCTGTTCAGCAGCCAGTCGCAACTGCCGTTTTTAACACCCGCGGTCTCTACGTGACCGGGCCAGTTGCCCACGTTGAAGTGAAAACCGGTGTTGAGCAACGGGCCAGCCGGCGACGACACGAACTCGACGTAAAGATCCTCACTGGTGCCAATGATGCTGTACGGGAATTTGCCCATACCGCAGAAAGTGCCGATCACCGGGCTACTCTCATTCTTACCGTCGTACACGCGTATATAATCGTACGGGCAGTGCTCCGAGCCGGAACTGATCGGCCGCATCGGACACGTCATGATATTCTCGCAACGTTGACCGTCGATGTTGAACTCCTCGTTCTCGATGTAGAGCTTGATGAAGGGCAGTCGGGTGTTCAGACGATATTTGCAGTGCAACGCGCGCGGATAAATCCCGGGATAAGCCGGGCTCTGTACGTAGCACGTTTGCAGCCGGCAGTCCTTGAAGACGCGCTCGCAGTAACTGCCTGGTACGACCTCGCCGCGACGATTCGGATAGAGTTCCGGGTGTTGGCCGTATCTGAGGTACACCTCGAACTGCGGCTCGGCACGCGAATCAAAACTGAAATACGTCTGATCGGTGAAGTTGTCCGCGTGGAAGATCACCCGCACGAAGCTGGTCTCACTGATGAAGGTCTGCGGCTGCTCGGACTCGCCGCAGTAGACGCCCGGGTCCTTGCGATTGCTCACCTCTGTCTTCGTGTTGCCGTCTATGATCTGGAACAGTGACGTGAAACGCGTGATGGGCATATATAACGTTCGAAACGATCGATGACGTCGTAAGGTGACGACGTCGCGTCAGGTATTGAGAGATTTAATCAATTTTAATTACCAATGTAATCCAAGCTCTCATGCCAAAATTGTGTCGTCCGTAAAATATAATTATAAATAATAATCGTTCGTCTCACTAAAAGATACGATCGGTGAAATTTAATTGTACTTGGTTTATAATTGAAATTCTTTATATCGCATAATGTAATCTGGTTAAATACAAATGTTCTACATTTCATGAGTTTACGCACGTAAACTCATTTCAAGTAAAAAGCTATTCTATAAAAATAATTAAGTCTATTAAAAATAACAGGCATTCAAATGAGACACGCGATAATTTGACATAAAATTATTAGGTAGTACAGCGAATAAATAATTGAGCTGTAAGTTTACAAGATGATAAAACAGTTTATATGGGAGATACATACTTATTCAAACGGAAGCTAATAGTTTAGTAAAAAATACAATGGTTTCATCATGTATCCCGCTTCTTGAATCTTACGAGCTCATGCAGAGGGAAATGTACCTGAAGTGACTACTATTGACTTTTCATCCTTTTTTACTGGTGTAAATTTGAAAGTCGCGAGGGAAACCGAGGGAAAATACAGGGGAGATAGAGAGCACAGTGAACAGAGAAGCACAGAGAGAGAGAGAGAGAGCGAGAGAGAGAGAGAGAGAGAGAGAGAGAGAGAGAGAGAGAGAAAGGAGAGGAGAAGAGAGAGGTTTACAGCGTCACAAAGATCAATACCTGATACCGAAGTAACTGAGAGAGGTGGCAGCAGGACGAGTGCGCCCGCGCGCACTCGCTCGCTCGCTCGCTCGAAAAAGGTGCAAGCGGCAAACGGGGAGAAAGGTGAGGGAATCACTTATCGCGTTCATCTCTTATACGGAAATGCTCTAATTCGCGACATTAATACGGCTACGCTTTTGATACCCCTCGCGTATTCACCGTCAGCCCCGTCCCGATGGGCAAAATTAGATTAACGCGAGACCGAACTATTCCATTCTTATGATAGTCGCGGCGCAAACAAACCCGCGAGTTATTATCTAGTCGATACGCCGCGAACGTGCGCTCGATTCGTCATGGGGTGTTATGGGGATTATCGGAATACGAGGATTCCGGTCAATACGTTATTCGAGCGTCTCTCTATTTTAAACGAGCTAAGTCGCTGATTTCGATCAAATGCAGATTCGGTGTGATTAATTTCAATTAGCTAAAGTTAGTTGAATAAATTATAAGTAAAAATTCAGCGAAATCGATAAAGTCCTGGTATTAAATCACATAAAAATCACATAAAATAAAAGATTTCATGTGATTATATTATTAGAGATTCTATTTTTCATTTCGCCCGCGTAGATAATTATTCCTCCGAAAAAAGTATGGAGTCTGGTGCGCCTAGGCGTAAAATAGACTCTAAATGCATCGTTGCGTACGAAGCGAGGCGAATCCGATAATGATATATCAGGCTCAGTTTACATCTGGCGTAACTGCGTGTTTTTTTTTTTATTTTTTATTTTTTTTATATTTCCCGGAGATCGCGCGCAGCTTACGGAGTATGAAATATGCGCATTTTCATCGTACAATACGAGTTCGACTGTACCACGTATGCATTGGTCCGCGACGCGATTCAAAGAGATACGCGGGTATCAGCGTCCCTCCGTCGTTACCCATCCTCGTCCCGCCGGTTCGGCCTCGATATTCAACTCGAATCGAAAGAATAATCGAGGAACGCTATTGTCGAATCGAAATTAAATTCCAGCGCCCGATTAATTGGCCAGATTCTCCCTATTCAATTAATAGGAGAGCGCGAAGCGAGGGGGTGAATGTAGCGACTCGATGAGATGAATTCGGCTGTGCCGTTTGGATGCGCAATCCTGGAATTAGGGACACCGTCTCTCATCCTTTCTCTTCCTCTCGGGCAAAGTTCACACACACACACACACATACACACATACATAGCACTCACCTGCAGATAACCGCCGCTGCAGGTAGTAGCGTTCTCCAGCACTCCGACTTTAAACTTCTTGAAGCGCACCCGCAGAATCCAGTCCCGGGGTGTTCCGCGAAAGGCACGGAAACGGTACCAGCACGAGAGGGGCTTACCCCAATTTGCTGGGGTCACCGCCGGGCTCGACACATCTTCGTAAATGTCCACTGTCTTGTTGCAGTGGCCTCGGTCCGCTGAAATAAAGCTGGTTAGAACGAAAAAAAAAAAAAAAAGAAAGAAAGAAAGGGAAATCCTTCCGGAATGCCCTCTTCTTTACTTCATTCTCAATTTCAATTATTAATTATCAAGTATGCTAATTATGTGCGTAACTTTATATGAAATGAGTAATATTATATTAGAGCGTGAATGTGTTAATAATATTTGTATTAATTATCAATAAGGTATTCATTAGTAATAGAAGATCATATAATTAGAGTGTGTGCGAGAATATTTGAGAATATTCCCGGAACGAAAGAAAAATTCAACTCGCGCGCGAGAGAAACATACTTTTTTAATTAATTTCACGTAGACCTCGCTTATAATGAAAACGGAGAAGATGCGGTTAAATGACGGACCACCCGCGATGTCCTCGCTAAGAAAATATTGATTTCGAAAAATCAAGTTGGCGGCCGTAGAAACGTATTATTAAATCCAGCGTCGCGAAAATACGGGATGTCTCGTGCAACCGCGTATTAGAACCGACGGTATTTTTCGTTGACCCGGTTGACTAACGGAGGAAACGATGAAGGGACGGGACACACCAACGGAACCGATAGAGTATCAGAGGAGGGTAAGGAACGCGCGACAACACGCGACACAAGTTTCGGCCGTGTAATCGATATTCGACCCGCTTGCCAGATACCTCTTATAAAGCGGCAGCCTCGTATTATGGCCGGGCCGCCTCTCGTTCGTAAATCACTTTTCCGCAGGGTATCAAAACCCTCCTTCGCCTTCACCTCGGTGGGTTCGCGCCCAGCGATATACCCGGCGCAAGTAAATCTCTCTAATGCGACGGTTAAGATTCGAGGCCGCGCGTCTCGGCTGTTACACCGATAATTCGGTCTGTTAGCCGCGTAACGAAGTTGCGATAATTGCTACCAGCTCGCAGGATAAGTAGCTTCCTGGATGAGTTTTCATTAAACCGCGCATCATCGGATTTGGATGCAGGTCGAAAAAGAGAGAGAGAGAGAGAGAGGGATTGATACCGCATCCTTAAACGAGATTAATCCGTCAGTCGCAACGGTATTTTATCCACTGGATTAAATTAGAAGTTGAAAGTTCTGCGAAAGTAGAATAAATGTAAGTCGCACGATTCTTATATCGGATCGCTAAATTAAAGAAGTAATTAGCAATTATATAAATAGCGTAGTAAGCGATAGAAATGATCACGGTGTCGGATTGCATCCGTCGACGAATAAATATAGAGATCGTTCTCGCGATCGTTGTCGCTGGCCTGGAAATTTGAACTCTCGCTGGAATTATACCCTGCCCCTCAGCTTTCCCCGCGGTCCTCCCTTCCCTCCCCCCAAAACCCTCCCCGCCCCTCCCCCTGGATTAGACTTACCTCTGCGAACGGCAGCGGGACTGGGGGTGGCCAGAAGCAGGAGGAATATGGCGAAAAATCCCCAGCCCCAGCTACCGAGGAGTACCAACACAGGCATTCGAGGCATTCCCGGGACAAGTGCCGAGGCTGTCAAAATACCTCCGCTTTCTCTCCTCTTATCTCCATTTGCCTCTCCCGTCGAGAACTACCTGTGCATACGCGCATATAAAAAAAATATACGTAACGACACACACACACACACACACACCCACACACACACACACATACATATAATATCGTTCCACTGATCCGTCCTGTCGGCTGTCGTGTGGGTGCATCAAAAAAAATATTGAACATCGTGCATCCGCAAAGTCCTTCGTGAAAAAAATAGTAGTACGTATAATTTCGTGCGAGAAAAATATTTCCCAGCGAGCTGACGTTATTTACTTCTCGCTGTTTTGCCATTAAAACGACGATCAAAAACGCGTAATTTTAATATCTGGATCTTTTTTCACGCCCCGCAAAATGAGATGAAACGTACAATTTTAATTCGAATTCTTCTTCCCCCCCCCCTATTCCAATAGCGATCAATCTTCCATAAAAAGAAAAATTTGTAATTTAATCGCCGAAAAGAACAGGTGCGGGGGAAAATCGCTGGTTCAAGCCGAAAAAGCTGGTTCATTTCCAATTTCCCCTTATTCGCTATTCCGGGAGCGCGAAATCTCTACAACGCGACTAGTACTTGATGCGATGCAGGCGCAAGTACATCGCATTATCATTTCCCCAAAGGACAATAAGGAACACCGCATGGTTTGCCAGATGGGTCGAGCATATGCCGGAAGGGCCTCGTTCGTACGTCCACGTCGAGAGAGCGGGGTGATAATTGGTTAAATCCTCGTTGACTCGGCCATCGACAACCGTACTTCACCTCCGGAATTTTCTCTCCCTCTTCATTCACCGCCGCCCTCCTCCCCCCCGCGTCCATCCTCGCATTCCCGCGCGTTGCATTCATTGTTTCGTCTCTCGAGAGAATTCAATATTTTTTTTTTCCTCCCCCTGGAGGCACGCCGACCTCCAGCAAATTCAAATCGTTCAACGCGAGGATATCCAGAGATATTTAAAGATTCAAAGACTCACGGGGGGGGGATTTCGGGGATCGCGAAGGTCCGAGTGGTGCCGGAATTGCGAACGGCCAAGGTCGCGGAAGTTCTTTTTTTTTCCCCCTTCCCGCCCCAACAAAACTCGTGCATTTCTGTCGGGACGTCCGTAGAATTGATGCACTCGCGGATTTTCAGATTCTATCGGCGTGCGCGAATCGAATAAAAGCAGGCGCGTGCTGAAAATGTCGAGCGAACCGAGCTCGGAGCGGTTAGCGCATCAGCAATTTAGATCGCTCGTTGATTACGCGCGTGAATAGGGGATGCGTTCGACGACGCGCGTTTTACAAAACGAGCAAGGTGACACGGGAGGGAGAAAGAGGAAACTGGATCGACGATCTCGCGGAATCTCGTTCGAGCGATTGTTTCTCCACCCCCCCC